TCCTCCCTCCTCCTCCTCCTCCACCTCCTCCTCCTCCTCCTGCTGCTGCTTCTCCTCCTCCTCCTCCTTCTCCTCCCTTCCTCCGACCTCCCGCTCATCCCACCTTCCTCCCCTCCTCGTCCTCCTCCTCCTCCTCCTCCTCCTTCCTCCACCCTCCCTCTCGTGCTCCTGCTCCTCCTCCTCCTCCTCCTCCTCCTCCTCCTCCTGTTCATCATCATCATCCTCCTCCTCAGCATCCTTCTCCTCTTCCGACGTCTCCTCCTCATCGTCATCCTTCCTCTTCCTCCCTTTCCACGCCTCCCTCATCCCTCCTCCTTCCTCCTTGTCTTCCCGCCTTCCTCCTACCTACCTCCTGAAGCCTCCTCCTCTCCTCCTCCTCCTGAGCCTCCTTTTCGTCCTCCTCCACCTTCTCCTCCTCCTCCTCCTCCATCTCCCTGTCGTCCTCCTACTGCTCCTCCTCCTCATCATCCTCTTCCTCCACCTCCTCCTCCTCCTCCTCCTCCTCCTCCTCCTCCTCCCTCCTCCTCCTCCCCCTCCTCCACGTCCCTTCTTTCTCCTGCTCCCTCTTCCTTCCTCCATCTCCGCCCGCATTCCTACTAATTACCTCCCCCTCCTCCAGCCTTCCTCCTACTTCCTTCTCCTCCTCCTCCTCCTTTTCCTCCTCCTCCTCCTCTTCCTCCTTCCGTCCTCCTCCCTCCCCTTCCTCCCGCCTTCCCACCTATCCCTCCTCCCTTCCCTTCCTCCTCCTTCCTCCTCCTCTTCCTCCTCCTCCCTTCCTCCTCCTCCTCCTCCTCCTCCTCCCTCCTCCTCCTCCTCCTCCTCCTCCTCCTCCTCCTCCTCCTCCTCCTCCTCCTCCTCCCCTCTCCTCTTCCTTTCTGCTTCTTTCCATCCGTCTTTCCACGGTCCAGGCCCAGGTCGCAGGGGTTCCCAACATTGGTGGTTTGCTTGTCTTGCGCCCGATGCGGGCTCGATGCGGACTCTACATGGATTTGGCGTGGAGTCGACGCGGACTCGACGCGGATGCGGCGCGGATTCGACGAGTCCGACGTGGATGTGACACGGATTCGACGCGGATAGGGGCACGACGGGGCAGTCGAGGGGTCCGTCGAAGATGCAACATAGATCAGGGGGGGCAGTCCTCCAGACATTGGTCCAAGATCTATTATTTTTGGGTTCGCACCACATTCTTGGAACAGTTCCGGTTGATATCGTCTTGTTTTGACATGTCGGCGTCATGGATTTTGTTCGCGAAGAAAGAGCTTTCTTTCTAGTCTGCAGCAAGTTTACTTGCATGGACGGGGGGGGAGGGCTGGATCTACAGCAGGCCGCACGCGACCTGCACGTGCGGAGACCACGCAAGTCGAAAGGCACTTCCACGCTGGTGCTCGTTTGAAGAGGGGCGAAGGGAGGGGGGCGCGAACGACATGCAAGTAGACTTGCGTGAACATCTTGTTTTAAGGAAAATGTTTAACAACAGCACAGACGGTAACAACAAGAACAGGGTCAAATCGGGACGGGCGGTCTTTCTGCGTTCTCTCGGCCTTGGGATGCCCTCCCAGGGCCGGCCCCCGACCGTCCAGAGGCGACCCAGGAGCAGACACCAGCCCCGGGGGGGCTGCCGGGGACACCGTGCAGTGGAGGCTTGTGCCAAGAAGAAACGCCCTGCTTGCCTCCAGGGTGCTCTGGTTTTTTGGGGGTTCGATGGTTTTGCGACGGAAGGCGTGACGTTCCCACACCAAAAATCAATGGACGTCCTAGGGTCTCAGGGTTGGATTTCTCGTGGAAGGTTTCCTGTGGAGTGGCCTCCACTGTATTCAAAGAATCAGGTCGTCGCATGTCGAGGCTCGAATCCACGGGCTCCCATCGCCCATGTCTTCGACGAGGCCCTCCTGGCGACTGCGTGTAGTCCGAGGCGTGGGTTCATCCACAACCACCGCCTGGGGGGAGGGGCGATCTTCGTGGACCTCGGCGGGCGGTGAAGAGTGGATCTGCTCGAGCTCCCTGTGGCCGACCTGTAGCCATAACCGCCGCCCGCTGAGGTCCCAGCACGTCTGTGCCGAGGGCGGTGGACATGGATAGACCCCCGCCTCGTGTATAATGCCTGCCCGCTCTAGGCTATCCGCCCCTCCTGCCTCCGCTGATCGTCAGCAAACCGGCAACACGGCGCACAGCCTGGTGGCGCAATCGCCGTGGCCCGTTCTGTGGCCATCGGCGTCGTGGCTTGAAGTTCGAGGCTGTTCGGCCGTGGCCGCAGGTTCTCGGAGGTTTTCCAGCCTCGGGGTGCCTTCCTCGCCATGCAGGGGACAGGTCCTGAGGAGAACGGGTCCTGAGCTTTGTCGCTTTTTCTGGCATCCCGGGGCATCCTCAGGAAAACTACTGAGGATGAAGATTTGGTCTTGGGGGAAAGCCCGGGGTCCAGAACCCCCGACGTCATGGTCCTGTCATAGCGTCGACCCCCACAGGTCTCGACCCACTGCATGGGATCTTCTTACTTTTATCATCTTCAGTCGTTCTCGACGTTTGAAGACATCGGCCGGAAGCATACCCTCAGAATGTTGCCCCTCTTCTTACTCGTGGTCCGAGGTGCCCCCTGGTGTCCAGGAACCGTCTCCTGCTGGCCAGCTTCCGGCAGCCGCGCCTCGGCGAGGGCGCCGGGGGTACCCGTCAGGCCGCCCGAGGCCAGAGGTATCTTGGCCCAGGGACCGGCCCCATCGGGTCGTGTTGTCAGAGGCTTGTTTTGGAGACCGTGCGAGGGCCCCCCTAAAAGATCTTTTGGGACTCCAGTGCTAATGGGTCGGCTTTCCACCACCGCCACCATAAGCTGGAGTGGGGGAAGGAGGAGGAGGAGGAGGAGGAGGAGGAGGAGGAGGAGGAGGAGGAGGAGGAGGAGAAGGGGGGAGGAGGAGGAGAGGAGGAGGAGGAGGAGGAGGAGGAGGAGGAGGAGAGGAGGAGGAGGAGGAGGAGGATGAGGAGGAGGAAGACACCCTCCCCCTCCAACTTATGGTGGTGGTGGTGGTGGAAAACAGGCCCATCAAGCTCGACTCCAGCTAAAGTCAAGTTCGACTCAGGTTCGACTCAGGCTAGCTCGTTCTAGGCCTCCCAGATGGGATCCGAGTCGACGGGGTTGGAGGATCGCGCCGCATCGCTCATGCATCGGCTGTGCGGCTCAATGTGGAGCCCGATTTTCTCACGCAGACGACGGCGATGCAGCTTCGACGTCGCGGATGCATCGGCGATACATCGGCTACGCGGCGCGATCCGCCGACACCATCTACTTGCACCCTATCTGGGAGGCCTCTACTTGTGTCGTGGGGAGAATCACGACGGGAGGTCTTAATTTTTCTGGCCCCCCTGCCCCTTCGGAGCCTAGTGTACCCTCGCATTACTCTTTTTAGATTGCACTGGCGCCGATGAGATAGCTCCAATGTTGCGTCGAGTAGCGTCGGTTTAGCGTCGATTCGCGTCGATCCGTGGGGGCCAACAAGATGGCATGGGAGGTCCCCACAAGTTGCCACAGAAGGATCGGGACGGGAGGTCGGCGGGAGTTTCTCTTGCCCCCCCCCCGGGGGCCCTCAGGAGGCCGGGGACTGTCAAGAAGTGCTTCCGAATCTACAGCTGGTCCCGAGGAAGGCTTAGGGGTCCGACCTCGCGGAGAAATGGCAGCATCGTGGGCAGGCACAGCTGAGGCCATCGACCCCATCTTTCTGCGGCGTTTCCCGATCCGGATCGGTCTGCGAGGATCCCGTGGCCTGAAGCAGGGCGGTTAGCGACGAGGAGCGCGACGCGGAGCAGAGCGGCCACGCGAGGGGCGGCGCCAGGCGAGCACGCCCACGGGGGCCACAGGTGCAGCGCCGTGTGGGGCACGAAGCGGGCGAGGGGGCGTGCCGTGCTGGGCGGCGGGAGGCCACGCTTAAGTTGGGCCTGTCCCTCTGCAGGGGGAACAGTAAAAAATACTCCGATCATAGTGTGGGGCCTGTCCCTCTACAGGGGGAACAGGCAAAAATACTCCAATTATAGTGTGGTGGGCGATTTTCCGGACTATTGTTCAAACATGTTTGGCGAATGGTTTCAAAGTAGGTTTGTTATCTCGTCAAGAAACCGCATGTCGGGGGACATGCCCGGCCTAAGGCCACGCGAGCACGCCCACGGGGGCCAGAGGTTTAGCTCCCTGAGAGGCAAGAAAGACGCGCGAGCAGCGTGCCGAAGCGGGCGAGGACTGGAAGAGGGGGGGAGGGAGAGAGGAAGAGGGAAGGGGGACGCAGGAGGAGAGTGGGGCGCGCAGTCACGCGAAGTCAAGACGGGGACCCTTCTTCACGCAGGAGGGCTGGACACGATTTCAGGGACTTCGGGGACCCCAGATTGAACAGCAACCTGGACAGCTGAGGTTCGGGGATGAATGCGTTGCAGGCCAACGTCGGATGAAGCCGACCTGTGCGACGCCGAAATGTCTAACTCCCCCATGCCCCATGCCCCATGGCCCTGCTGACACATGACAGGCAAGATGCTGCAGTACGGAATCAGCTCTGGTTCGAAACGGTCTCGCTACATGATTGTCTCTCCAGCGCTCGTCGTGCAACAAGGAGGTTTTGGTGCTAGATGGTTTCGTCCCGCATTTTTTATCTCAATAGGTTGCTTCTTGTCAGCTGCTCATTACCGTCTTTCTTAGCGTAGTTTTTTCTTGTAATTCTCCTGCCGTGGAATCCCGCCTTTCGATCATGGTTCTGATTAATGGGGGGAACTTTGCGAAGGCATAGATCAGCGAGTTATGCTCCCCTTGGTTCCCCTTGCGTCCTATGCCACTCGCGCCTGCTGCTGTATACGCCCTCAGGAGGCCCTAATACAGCAGTCCTCGGGGGTGGACAGAACCCCCAACAGTGACACGTCGATTAGTAAATTGTCCGTTTTCGGCTCTCGAGAGGGCGCCGTGGCCGTTATTTTCCAGGCTTGCGCCCGCCAGGTTTGGGCCTCAGGTCGTTTTCACTAAACCACGTTTTACTAAAGGGGGGTCTGTCCATCCCCGAAGTCCAGGGCTGAGAACTGGCTTGTCCAAGGCAGGTGGTGGCGTACGGTTGCCGGTTTCCAGCATCGCGCTCAGAGGGTAGATCGTCGAGCACCATCTGCTCAGACGTGTCGGCTTACTGCAGCGACTGGACAGGCGATTGTACCACGATGTTCTGCCAGGGGTGCGAGATGGAAGGCGTCTGCAGCACAACTTGTAGCATCAGCACCACTGGTACTCGCTCTCTCCGCTCTACTCCACCTCCTGCTTCTCCCTCCCGCTCCGCCTGGCACCTGCTCTTCTCCTCCTCCCTCCTAAGGTTTGAGGAGTGTCCTTTCCTCCTGCATTCTCCCTCCTCCCCCATACATCCAGGTACCTGTCCGAACGCTTCGGCTACGAACTGCTACCAGGCGACCGACACCCAGACGTCTGCTACGTGCGCCGTGTTGGACTGCGCCACGTGGGCCAACTCGCCAGGAAGCTGCGACCAGTACTGCGACGCCTGCACCCTGACGCAGGAGCCAGAATGCTACGCCTGTGAGAATCTCCTCCCAACGGACTGCAGTTACCCAACCTCCGAAATAGGGCTATATTGTTTTACGAAGTGCTCGATTGACTATTGCGTGAAGTCCTCCACCTCGACGCACACCACCTCTTCGACAACGCGCACAGGAACGAGCTCTTCGATCACCACCACATCAGTCAGCACAACATCAGGTACAGTAACTCAAACCTCAGTTACCCACACTTCCGGCAGTTCCACTTCACGCAGCACCACATCAGGTACAAGCCTCTCAGTTACAGGCACGAGCGCCTCACTCACCACGTCTTCAGGCAGCACCACATCTGTCAGCACCACATCAATCAGCACCACATCCTGCAGCTTCACATCGAGCAGCACCGCAACAGGCACGAGCCTCTCAGTCACAAGCACTAGCACTTCAATCACCACCTCTTCAGTCAGCACCACATCAGGGAGCACCACATCACACAGTACCACATCACTCAGCACCCTATCGGGCACGAGTCTTTCTGTCACCAGCGCTAGCACTTCGAAAACTACCACGTCAGGTAGCACTACGTCCATCACAAGCTTGTCAGTCACCAGCACTTCCAGCACCTCCAGCACATCGACTGCCACACCGTGCATGGACGTTGTGCCCGCGCTGTTTGGGTATGCTGGAGTGGCTGGCTGGGAAGACAGCAACGGCTACACGTGTTCTTTTTATCTATTTGCGCTGTTGCGCAAATCCGTTCATCCTAGCTACATCGAGTCTTACGTTGCATCTTTGGGGGACCTCGCCTGCCCTGAATCTTTGCGTCTTTTCTTGTGCCCGATGCGGGCTCGACGCGGATTCGACACGCATCTGGTGAGTCCGACATGGATTCGACATGGCGGATCGATTTGCGAGGGACAGGCAAGGTCCCCTGGGGATGCAACATAACGAGTCTGGCTGCAAGTTCTCCTTCCGGCGAGTGGTCGAACGGGTATTCGTCACACAGGCCTGTCTGCGGACCTTCTATCCCTACGCTTCGTGCGGAGGGCCTGCTAGCGGAGTGGAAAATGGAGCTCGAGGGTGAAGGCCTTTACAGCAGTCTTTCATTAAATCGGGTCTGTCCCTATACAGGGGAAATATTCAGAAATAGTCAAAACATAGTCTGGGGACGATGTTTCGAGTATTTGTTGACAATTTTTGAATATTTCTTGAGTACGTTTCATTCTCGTCGAGAATCGGCCTGCAGGGGGACAAGCCCGACCTAAGTCTTGCACCCCCATTCGACGCATCTTGGTAACCGACTCGGGTCCTGGGACCCGCTTGACACGACCCACAGCGCGAGCATCGCGCACACGAAGTATTCGATCACCTCCTGTGACCTCCGTGAAGGAGATCGATCCGTTGTACACTTTCACGCGATGTCACGAAGCAGAGCCGACGTCATCACGGCAAGCACTCCATACGAAGTGGCTGGATTTGGCCGCATGTCATTCCGGCCCTCGGTCCTCGTACAGTACGTCCAGGAACGGTGATCCTCCGCATGGGTATCCTGCAGGTGGCCTCCACACGGTTCCAGAGCGAAGTCAGCCACGGATCTATTTCCAGCCTCTGAGCCGGGCCCCTCTCTCTCTCGCGCTCCGCCCTCTTTGGGCCCGTGGCTTCGCCGCGTGGCTGAGCGCGTGGCCGCGCCGCTGGGAGAGTGCGTGCCACCTTCCTGGGGGAGGGCCCCCCCCGCCAGGGCCGGAAGAAGAGTGATATCCACTTGGGCGGGCGAGCGAGCCAGCCACGCGAGCGAGCCTGTCGGCGTTCGGCCCCGCGCAGGGCAGGGGTGGGCAACCAGTCCACCCGCCGGACAACCAGTGCGAAAAACATGAGCAGGTGTGAGACTCTTGTGCGAGTTTGGAAAAAATTGCCCCTGGGGCGGGGCAAATTTGTGTGCTGAGGGTGGGCAGCCCTCAGCGTCGGGTCCGTGTTGGCGCCTGCTGCTGCTTTGCACGGGGAGCCTGGAGCAGTGAGCAATTGGCGGCCAGGATTGACGCACGGCGGGCGCGGCGACCGCGGTGGCGGATTACACAAACGACCTGTGCACGACCTCTGCGACCAAGTTCGCCAATTACGGCATGACAGCGAGCGTGGCTTGCTGCGTCTGCGGCGGCGGGGTGAACGGGTTTTCCACCACGACGGAGACGAGCTCTCGGACCACCAGCACCACGTCTTCGTACTGCGTGGACTGGAGGCCTGCTTCAGAAGACCACTGGTACGTCGGGAGCACGAGCCAGGACTGCGGCTACCTTGCGTACTTCTGCCAGGACAGCATCGCATCCGTGCCCAGCTTCGGGCATACTGCCTCAGAGGCCTGCTGTTATTGCGGCGGCGGGACGGGTTACACCTCCACGCAAATCACGCTCACGAATACTACCAGCAGCAGCACCTCGTTCACGAGCAGCACAACGGGTGTCACCGACACGTCCAGCTTTTCCTCTTCCACCACGTTCACGTCATCAACTTCCTCTACGTCTACGACCACGCACTCGTCGACCACTGGCACCACTGCCTCCACTCTTACACGCTGTGAGGATTGGGTTCCTCTGATGGTCGGGCTTTCGGAGTCCGCGTGGTACGACTCCACGGGGCCAGCATTCGGGTGCGATTTTTACGAGGCGCACGGTCTTTGTGGCACGGGGGAGGACTTTGAGAATTTCGATCGGACGGCGGACGAGGCATGCTGCGCGTGCGGCGGCGGGGTGAACATCGCGTCGACCACCACCGGGACGTACACGACCACCACGCGGTGTGTCGACATGGTCCCCGCCGGAGCAGGAGGCTACTGGTACGATTCCAGGGGGACACTGTACAATTGCAGGTTCTATGCCCATGCCGACTTCTGCACCAGCGAGGGCGCCCTGTATCCAAATTTCGGGTACACAGCACAGGAGGTCTGCTGCGTGTGCAGCGGCGGCACTGGCAAGACCGCGACCAACACGACGTCCACCGGGAGCTCAACGTCCACGGCCATCACAATCACTGCAACGATCACATCCACCTCCAGCCACACGGTCACCACTTCTGGCTCCACGACGTCGATGACGGTAACGTCGACGACGGGGAGCGTCACGTCGTCGGCCAGCGCAACCACTTCCAGCCGTACTTCGTCAACCCTCAGCTTGTCGAGCTCGACCAGCGTTACTGCCGTGTCCAGCACGTCCAGTCGGTCCAACACGTCCACGAGCACGTCGGCCACAACCTCGTCGACCTCGGGCACGCTGACGACTCTGGCTCTCTGCGCTGATTACGTTCCCGAGGATGCGGACAAGTGGTACGACTCGCTCGGGGCGGAGTACGACTGCAAATGGTGCTCAAATGGCAGAAACTGCGCAAACCTAAATCGTCGGGGGTCTGTGCGGAGTTCTCCGTGGTCGACGCTGCACCCCCTGGGCGGCATCCCTGGCACCGCTGCTGGCGCGCTCGGTGTGGCAGGGGAGGGGTGCCAGCTCCGACCCAGGGAGTCCGCGTGGGGGCCCGAACGTTGGCGTTGACGCGCTTTTTGTTCCAGGTATGCCACCGATGGTGGCGGTGACTACTGTGGAGAGTTTGGCTCGGTGCAGAGCCTGAACTTCAACAGGACAGCACGCGAGGCCTGCTGCGCGTGCGGTGGCGGGGTCCGCTACACGCAGACTACCACGGTCACGAGAACCTCGACCACCGAGTGCTTCGATTGGCAGCCGAGCCCTCAGGTCGAGAAAGCAAACTTGGCAGGCCCGTGAACTTTCCGATTTCCGAGCGGATGTCGTGGATCTGCGTCGGGGCCCCCTGGCGCCGCCTGCGCCTGCTCTCCCGTCCCTGGCGCGTTCGGCACGCCAGGGACGGGGGTCCAGAGCCGATCCAATACATCTGCGCGGGCATTCGAAATCATGCGCGTATGGCGGCTCCTCTTCTTCCATCAGGAGATCTGGTCCGACGGGCAGGGCCACACGTGCAGGTTCTACGAGCGGGAGTTGTTGGTCAAAAGCGCCTGCTCCGAGTCCGAGAACCTTGGCATGACTGCCAACGATGCCTGCTGCGTCTGCGGCGGCGGGTTCGGTAGGACCGTTTCCGAGACAACCAGGACATCGTGGACGGGAAATCTGGGCGGACGGCAATGGGCGGAGTTCGAGGATTACAGGACATTTCCCTTTTAAAGGGTCCTGAACGGACTTTGAGTTGCCACCGCGGGACCAACACGCGCACGAAAGGTGCACCCTTCGCCAGCCCAAGTTGATTGCCACCCCGTTGACAAACACACGACATGGCCTCGCGGTCTGGTTCACTAGTCTGCGACCTCATGGGTACATGGTCTGGTTCACTAGTCTGCGACCTCATGGGTACATGGCGGCGTTGCGCTGATGCCCCGCACCCAAGGTACAGTGCGTCACAACCTTCTCGGAGCGAGCATCTCCTCTCGCCCGTGCGCCCTGTGGCAGGTGCCTTCCGGATCGCGCCCAGGAGTCCAAACCTAGAGGAGCAACGAAAAAGGCACAGACGTACTTTGGACGGTCCGCGCGGATTTCTTGGGTCTGCGCTGGTCCCACGTTCCTGGTGCGCGGAGCGCGCCAGGGGCGGCGCCGTGGGCGCCGCCAGGGGGCCCCAGCGCAGATCCAAGAAATCCGCGCGGACCGTCAAAGAGTTTTGTGCTTTCGCGAGGACCTGCATGTGGATACCCTTTTCTCTCCGCCCGCGGCGAGGCAGGGCAGTCGGCTCCAGCGCGGGGCGAATCGCGGGCACCGATCGGCGCGAACTGTCCGGCGTGCCAGAGAGCGAGGAGGAGAAGACGAGGGCGGCCGCGCGGGGGGGGAGAAGGAGAGAGACGCCGAGACAGGGAAGAGCTCCGTGGGGAGCGGGCCAGAGCGGCCAGCCAGGGCAGTGGGCGGACTCTTCGGGGCTTCGTAGAGGGAGGGTTCTCCCAAGGTGGGGCTGGGGAGCGGGCCCAGCCAGATGCTCCCGTACACGGCGCGTGTCCTCCTTCCAGGGGCCGTCCGGAGCGATTTTCCCTCCCACCCCACCTCTGCCCCTATACCCCACCTCTGTGCCCCTCCGAGCTGTGGACATATCGTCGGGGCTCCGGAACGTGGCCCCCCTCGGGCCGAGGAGGGGCCCTCCGGCTCGCGTGGCCGAGGCGCGCCCCGGCCCCGGCCAGAAGAGGCCCTGCGCTCCGCGCGTCGCGTCCTCCTTGTGCTGGAGCCGGGCAGGTCCCTCGACAGGGGGGGGGCATGCAGGAACAGTCCACCAGATAGCCAGGTGACGATTGTTCGTGCTCGTTTGACTAGGACAGGTTCTGTTTGGGCTATTTCTGTTCTTTCCTCCAGGCTCTGGGCAACCGCTGGTTTCGCCTGGGGCTGGTTTCGCCTGGCTGGTTTCGCCTGTCGCCCGGGCTGGTTCCGCCCGACGCTGGTTGTCTTGTCTTGTCTTGTCTTGTCTTGTCTTGTCTTGTCTTGTCTTGTCTTGTCTTGTCTTGTCTTGTCTTGTCTTGTCTTGTCTTGTCTTGTCTTGTCTTGTCTTGTCTTGTCTTGTCTGGGTCTTCGGCACCAGGCCGTTGAGTTCCAGCTCGAAGCCGAGCAACCGTTGCGACAAATTCGGCATATTTAATTATCAATCCGTTCCATTGCAACTTCGGCTCTATCATCTTGCAGCGCGGAGAGCGCTTAGCACCGAGGCCACATCCCACCTTAGCAGAGTGGTGGGCCGCGCATAACAGCAAAAATCGTCCACGTCTTGAGTCAGTTACTGCACCTCATTCCTTGTACGTCCCATACTTACTTCCAGTACTGATTCGGCATGGCTGACCAGGCACCCCGCGGAGAACCTTTGGGGACTCAGCGCTCCGGCAGGCGACAGTTGCTGGGCGCAGAGGGTGTCCGTGATGGCGCTGAGGGCCCACCTGCGGCCGCGCGCCCAGGTGAAGGGGAGGCGGGTGACCGCTCGCGGTCGCCGCCGGCGGCCGATCCATTTGGCAGGCTGGCCCCTGCCTCCGCTTTGATGCCGAGCGGGCCCCAAGCGGGAGCCGCGCGCGCGGGCGACGACAACAACCTCAGCGACCTCATCGAGAAGGAGCTTAAGGATTACATGAATTCCGACCTGAAGACCTCCATCAAGAAGGCCAGCACGACCCTGGCCGCCAAAATCGAGAGCCTCCAGAAGACCAACGCCCGCAAGACCAAGCTCGAGGCCGAGCTGCAGTCCCTGCGGGGCGGCACGATCCCAGCCGGCGTGAAGCCGGCAAACTTCGGGTTCGAGACCGACCTCCTGGACACCGTCACGCTCCAGGACACGAGCTACGACATCCGCTTCGACAGCGGGTGCACCATCCGCGACGCCAAGCGCAAGCTTCACATCTTCTACCTGGAGAAGTGCAGGGAGCTGGACCTGCGCGTCGTGGAGGAGCAGCGGACGCGCCTCCGGCAATACACAAGGAAAGACAACTTCATCGACCGCCTGCTGGCCGAGAGAACCTCCATTGACAGCGGATGGAACACCCTGGACTTGGACTTGGAGGTCGGCGACGGCCCGCACGGCGTCTCAGAGAGCTCCCTGCGCGCGAAGGGCGAGGCCATCTACACGAAGCTCGTGGACCGAGCTGTGAAGGCCAAGAAGATGGAGGAGGAGAAGCGGAAGCAAGCGGAAAACAGGCAACTCAAGGTGGCCACGGCCCTCCTGGAGAAGAAACCGGCCGACCACCTGAGCACTGCCATCGACTTGAAGCTGAGAGAGGCCTTGAGAAAGCGAACGGACGGATCTTCGAGCGCTTCAGGCGCCAATGCCCACCTGGAGGCGTCCATCCGGCAGCTCCAGAAAGGTGACAACATTCAGCCCAGCGACTTGGCAGACGTCATTGCAAAAAACTCCTTGGCCCCCGCCTCGAGCGGGGGCGTGGGGGCTGGCAAAAGCAAAGCCAAAGGCAAAAACAAGACAGGCGGAAAGGGCAAGGCCGGCGGCAAAGGCAAAGACAAGCCGCCCTCGACTCCCTCGCAGCCGCCTGGCAAGGGCTCGAGCAAAGGCAAAGACAAGTGGAAAGCCTCGAGCAAAGGCAAAGCCAAAGGCAAATCCAAAGGCAAGACAGGCAGAGGGCGTGGCAGCTCGAGAGGCGGCGGCAAAGGTCGGGGGAACGGCCGCTTGCAGACCTGGTGGCAATGAAGTTCCTCACCCTGTGCAGCGCGATGTCGCCCGCTGACCTTGCCGTCCTGTTCGACACAGGGCGCGGCAAGCCTGGGTGGTACATGGCGGACTTGACCCAGAGGGTCGCCTGCACGCCCCCCGCTGGAGCCATTGCCTGGCCCTTGGAGTTCCTGTTGAGGCGGTATCATCGAAAACATGTGTTTTCTAGCAGCCGACCTCCGTCCCTAGGGGACATCGGCTCGAGTTTGTACATCTGGGAGCACCGTCTCCGCTGGCGTATCGCAATGTCTGATTCTGAATCCAACCAGTGGCATTTTTTGCGCTCCAGGCGCCAAGTGCCGCACCCGTGTCCGATGACTTTCAATCCTGCCGTCGAGAATTTCATCTCTGACACTAAACACGAAGTGTTTGAGGAGTGCAGGCGTGCGAGGCATCGGGTTTCATCCCTCGGCCGCCCCACCAATTTGAACGGGGTTGCTGAGCTGGCGCTGGATTTGCTCCGTAATTCACCAGTCGGCGCTTGCATCACTGACAAGGACGGTGGTTTTGCCGTGCTACCGAAGGCCGCCATCCACGAAGAGAAACTCAGAGTTCTGGCTTCTGATTTTTACTCCCGCGTAGCATGGCACGAGGCATTTGCGGTGGAGGCGATGACTGAATATTGTGAGGCCGCCCAGAGCTTCGACGACGAAGACCTGGTGAAGGCCCTCCTGCATGATTATCGTTCTCTGCCCACGCGGCTGTTTTCTGTGCTTGCCCTGACAGTGAAAACTCACAAGCCTGCTGGGCAAGTCACCTGCAGGGCGCTTCATTGTAGTTCGCGGCATCCCATGCTTCCGGGCATGCGCTGGGTAGCGTGGAGGTGCAGACAGGTTCTCCAACGGTTGCCGCACTTGCTAACTAATACAGAGCAGCTGCAACGTCAGCTGTCGGCCCTTACGTTGCCTCGGGGTTGCGTGTTCTGCAAACTTGACATCAAAGACTTTTACATGTCAGGCGAGCATGGCCTTCTCATTAACGAGTGCGCGAGGCACATCGCTGAGGGCCGAGAGCATTTCCGAGCCATGTTGTCCAGCATTGTCCGTAACCAATATGTATGTCTGTCTGACGACTTTGACGCACACCCGTTCGTGTACAGGGTCCTTCGGGGCACCGGTATGGGCTTGTGCTGCAGTGGCGAAGTCTCGGATCTCGTGTTCTACAGTACGGTCGAGGAGCCGTTTGTGCTCCGTTCAGACATCAGGCGCGAGTACGGCATTGTTTTCTATGGCCGATTTCGCGACGACATTCTGTGCATCAGCTCCAGACCAGACTTGCTTCACGAGATGTTGCAACGCATGCAGGCCCTGAGCCGTTGCTTCGATCTGACGATCGATTGCATCGACCCTGTTCGCACGATCATGTTGGATCTCAGTCTTAGTTTTTGTGACAGAGGTGACAATGTTGCCGTGGAGCACGCGGTGCATGTGAAACCCACTTCCGTTTGGGTGCCGTTGTGTGACTCCTCGGCCCACCCGCCGCACGTACACGCATCCTGGCCGAAGGGTTTTGAATCCAGGTTGCGGCGTAGATGCACGTACCGCCGCACTGCCGACTCACATGTGGCTGCGTTCAGGGATCGTCTTCAGAAGGCGTGCCCAGGCCACGTACATTTGCAAGATTGTCCGAAGCCGTCGTCTAAGACTCTCGCCCGCCCTCGCTCGCGGGTTCCACCTAGCAGGCTAATCGTTCCGTACAGGTTTGACTGGTCTCTTGCACGCATTCCCAGGGCGGTCAAACGTGCTTTCGTTCGGTGGAGACCGGATGACCACCTCAAGCTTCCATTCACGATGTGCCCACAAATCTCGTGGAGGCTGGGGGGTCGCCATTTGGCCCGCACCCTCACGAAGTATCAGCAAGATGATGCTGATGACATTTGCTTGTTTAAAATCTTTCGGAGGTGCTAGGGGTAGGTAGGAGGGTTCAGTCTTGTCTGGGTCTTCGGCACCAGGCCGTTGAGTTCCAGCTCGAAGCCGAGCAACCGTTGCGACAAATTCGGCATATTTAATTATCAATCCGTTCCATTGCAACTTCGGCTCTATCATCTTGCAGCGCGGAGAGCGCTTAGCACCGAGGCCACATCCCACCTTAGCAGAGTGGTGGGCCGCGCATAACAACAAAAATCGTCCACGTCTTGAGTCAGTTACTGCACCTCATTCCTCTGCCCCTATACCCCACCTCTGTGCCCCTCCGAGCTGTGGACATATCGTCGGGGCTCCGGAACGTGGCCCCCCTCGGGCCGAGGAGGGGCCCTCCGGCTCGCGTGGCCGAGGCGCGCCCCGGCCCCGGCCAGAAGAGGCCCTGCGCTCCGCGCGTCGCGTCCTCCTTGTGCTGGAGCCGGGCAGGTCCCTCGACAGGGGGGGGCATGCAGGAACAGTCCACCAGATAGCCAGGTGACGATTGTTCGTGCTCGTTTGACTAGGACAGGTTCTGTTTGGGCTATTTCTGTTCTTTCCTCCAGGCTCTGGGCAACCGCTGGTTTCGCCCGGGGCTGGTTTCGCCTGGCTGGTTTCGCCTGTCGCCCGGGCTGGTTCCGCCCGACGCTGGTTTCGCGCCGGGCGAAACCGGCCCCGGCGAAACGGGCCCCGGCGAAACCGGCGCCGGGCGAAACCCGCCCGTGCCGGGCTCCTGGCTGCAGGAGTAGGGCCCCTACGCAGGGCGCGTGCCCGACCTGCAGCATTTGCAGGCAGCACGGCATATAGCGGCACGGCAGGCCCGCGCCGTGTCGGCGGGGCGGGTCGACCCGGCCAGGGGGGTGCAATATAGGAGGTGGGGCCGCCGGCGGTGGCCCGGAGAGTCGGCCGGTAGGAGGGGAAGAACACACAGACACACAAGGAATCGCCGATTCCCAGAAAATACAAGAAAATATAGGAAAATATAGGGAACATGCAGGAAAATATTGGAAAAGACCAGAAAATATGGGAAGATACAAGGAATCGTCGATCCCCCAGAAAATATGGGAAAATATGGGACGTGGGGGGGCAGACAAAACCCTAGAACATATATAGGGAAATAGGGGGAATCCTACTATTTGTGTGTGTATTTATGTGTGTGTCCCAGGGCCCCCACGCACACCGATCCCCAGACCGTCTGGCGCTCGAGAGGCAGTGGATCGCTCAGGATTGAGCGATGCCCGCGGTGTCCAGGATAGGGAATCAGACTCTACACACCGACGCTTCTTCCGGCCCTGCCTTGGAATGTGCACTGGAGAGCGGAGCTTGGTGTACATGGGACCCTGGTGTACATTTTTCGTTGTTTCCCCGTGACATCGGGGGAAACAAGTATACACCATACCACCCCAGCGTCGTGCTCGACCCTCAAGAAGTCCTGGGATTGAAAAACAGCCCGCCACTGGTAATGTATATGTTCCGGTTTCCGACAAAAGGGCACAAGACTGCACACAGTGGAGACCCATGCCAAGAAACACCCTGCTTGCCTCAGGGTGCCCTGGGTTTCTTGGGTCTCGATGGCTTCCCCGTGGAAATCTTGACGTTCCCACACTAAAAGTCATTGGACTTCCTGGGGTCTCAGGGTTGGAATTCTTGTTGAAGGTTTCTTTTGGACTCGTCTTCGCTGTGAGCATAAACTTTCGGAGCTCTGCGCGGATTTCTTGGATCTGCGCAGGACCCCCCTGGCAAGCTCCGCGCGCCTGGAAAGGGGGCCCAGCGCAGATCCAAAAAGTCCGCGCGGACCTCCGAAAGGTTACGTTTATGCCGCTGTTTTGTTTCTCCGGGTCTGAACTCCTGGGCGCGATTCCGGAAGTACTTTGCCACAGCGCGCACGGGCGAGAGGAGATGCTCGCTGCGAGAGTCGTGAGGCACGCTCGCCGTCCATCTCTAACCTTACCCCGTGTTTCTGCGGACCTCCAGAGTTTACGTTTGTGCCGATGGTTTGGCCTTCTGGTGTAAGGAACTACCGCCAAGGCGGTCACGACAGGAACGTGCCGTGTGCTCGTCTCTGGTGCGCCGGCCACGCGTAACAGAGTGACCCTTCGCCAGTGTGACCTTCTGGTGCGGTCCCACGGGGGTCCCGCCAGCCCGTCCCATGCAGCCTCGCACCAAAGTTTGCCCATCGGTCGTTGAAAGTAGGTATTTTTGGACTCCCAGTTCCCAATCTACTTCAGCCGCCTTCCCAGGTCAAGAGGCGAGTGCATTCCCTCTTCCCGCCTCTTCGGAAGGCGGGCGGAAACCCAATCTACTTCCAACGCCTTCCTACTTCATGGTTCTACCTACTTTGATGGGCCTGTTTTCCACCACCACCATATGCTGGAGGGGGAGGGGGTCCTCCTCCTCCTTCACCTCCTCCTCCTCCTCCTCCTCCTCCTCCTCCTCTTCGTCCTCCTCGTCGTCCTCCTTCTCCCTCCAACTTGTGATGGTGGTGGTGGAAAAGAGGCTCATCATACCTCTTCCGACCGATGGGTACTCTTTCGCGCAGCCGAGTGCGCCGGCCACGCGCAGAGGGGAGCAGGGGAAGGGGGGGAGGCCCCTTAGAAGGAGGCTGCTCCTTGAGTGGCGCGGCGGCCTCACCTATTGGTGTCGGGCCGGCGCCCTTCTGAGCAGCAGCCTCCTTCTACGAAGTCCTCCCCGCTTCCCGATACAGTGCGGGCGCGGCCGCAAGAAACCCTCGCAAGAACCCCAACCCTGAAAACCCGCGCGCGAGGTGCACCTGAGGGGAAACCCGGAGCACCCTGAACGCAGCCGCTGCTTCCCCGGCTGCGGGAAGCCACCGCGCGGAGCGCAGAAGCCCCCGATACCTTGACGAAGAGCAGATGGTCTCTTGGTGCGCGCCCCCACCGTACTCCCCCCCTTGTGCGCGCCGCCAGCCGCTGCTTACTGATAAGCTCGGGCCTGCCCTCGCTCTCGGATCGCCCTCAGCGCCTCCAGCGCCCGGATCCTCGACCCCTCTCCCTCCTCCGCGTCTCCAGCCTTCGAGCCTCCAGTCTCGTCCCTGTGCGCGCCGCCGAGAACCTCAATGGCGCGAGCTGAGCAGTGTTGCTTCCGTTTCAGTCTTGCTGGCATGCTTCTTCGTTCCACTTTCGTTGCACCCTTGTTGCAACATCGAAGCAAAGACGAGAGCAGAACGAGACTGGCCCATGAAATCGCGCAAACACAGCTTGGCTCGCCTGCCGATTGCAGCGCCCAGCGCCGGGCGAGGACGTCCAGGGCCACGACGTCCGCCACCGCCTTCCTCCGTGTCTCTCCAGCGCCTCGATCGTCCTCCGGGTCTCCAGCGCCTCGGCCCCCGACCCCTGATCCTCGACCCCCGACCCTGCTCCGCGCCTCCAGTGCGCCTCGAGCCTCCAGCCTCGTCCCTGCGCACGCCGCCGAGTGAGGACGTCCAGCGCCACGACGCCCACCACCACCCTGTCCGCGCCGCCTGCCGGCGCCGCCGCCGCCTCGAGCGCCGAGGGCGGCCTGCCCCTCGCCGCCGCCTTCGGCCTGGCCGCGGCCGGCCTGCTCGCCGCGGGGTTTGCCGGGCTCTTTCTCCTGAGGTTCTCGGTCGGGCGGCTGGCAATAAGGGGGTGGCCTACATGGGGGGCCTGAAGGGCCCTCCCTGAAAAGAGGGGTGACCTCATGGGGGTGGCCTAAACGGGGGGCCTAAGTAGGGGCCTGAAGGGACCCCCCCTGAAGGGGGTGAACCCGATGGGGTGATCTAGATGGGGTGGCCCAAATGGGGAGTCATCAGGGTTGGTCATGGGGGTTGCCAGGCTCATTCTGCTGAGGTTCTCGGTCGGGCGATTGGCAATAGGGGGTGGCTTACATGGGGGGCCTAGAGTGCCCCCCCTAAAAAGGGGGTGACCTCAATTAAGGCGATCGCAAACATGCATCAAGGGGGCGTGGATTAGCGACGGGTCCCGTTTCCCTTGGGAAATCGCGGATTCCCGCCGCCGAACGAGGCGGCACCGGCCGCATTTTGGAGATGACACCTCCCCCGATTCATGTAATTGGCGACCACGCGACAAATCCATGGATCGCTAATCCATGCTTGCGCGCCCCCGATCCATGGGGTGATCTAGATGGGGTGGCCTAAATGGGGGGTCGTGGGGGGTTGGTCATGGGTCCTGAGTGGGCCCTGTAGGGCCCAGCTTGGAGCCAGCAGAGGCCGCCTGGTGTGTCGAGTCTGAGGTCCTCGCCGAAGGAGAGAAGCCTTCATCATCGCAGATTTTCCACTCTCCGCGCGGACCTCTCGGATTTGCGCTGGGCCCCCCTGGCGGCGCCTCCGGCGCCGCCACTGGTGCGCTCCGCGCGCCAGGGAGGGGGGTCCAGCGCAGATCCAAGAAGTCGCTCTCGGGCGGGCGGCAAGGGCGGTAAGAGAAGGAGCAAGTATTTTCTGATACAAGAAACGCTACCCTGGCCTCGATGTCCTTTTCTTGGGCCTCCCGGGGGCCCTCGTCGCCACCGTTGGATCCGCCTCGAATTCTAGTCAGGACGCCCGCCGGGAGATGGCTGGGGGGTAGCGGTATCGATACCTTTTGGTTTCCCTCTGCGGGGGGGAGAGGGTTGCTTTCATACGCCCGTTCAAAGCGTCTGTGGTAACACACTGCGTGCTGGCTCGGCACGTGCTGGTCCACACTTTGGCGAACGCGTCGCGTCGGACCTGCGTTTTCAGCCTGCGAATTGAGCCCCATGTCAACACGCCACGGTGTGCGTGTTGCGCATCGGGGGAGCCAAGGCGGGGGAGATCCGTTAGCAACCCATGGGGCCCTTGTGTGTCCTCGAACCTCCGCCTTTAGACTTCACTCGTGTGCGCTGGCGTCTGGCTATCGAGGAGAGGGCGCCGATGTGTCGCCGATTCTGCGTAGGTCATCGTCGACTCTCGCAGGAGCCAGCAGAGATGGCCTCGGAGGCTCCCGCGAGCTGCCACGGGCGGGTGGGGCCGAGGACTGCAGGGCAGTGGTCCACGGGGCCCTGGGCGGCCCCTCGCCTGCAGCCGCTGGCCCGGCGCGTGCACCACAGGCGCCTCCCTTCGCCCCCCCGCGTGCACTGCCCCTCCGTCGGGCGGCGGACGCTGCACAGAGCCGCTGCGCCCCGGCCAGGCCCCGCCCCGCACCCGGGAGCTGTGCGTGGGCCCCCCGCGGCCAGGCCCGGAGGGCTCGGCGTGTGCACCGTTGCCGGGCTCCGCGGAGGGGCCTGGCCAGGGAGCAGCGGATGTGCAGAGTTTCCGTTGTCCGTCCTCCTCCCCCTCCTCCCTCCTCCTCCTCCCCTCTCCTCCTCCCTCCTCCCTCCCTCCCTCTCTCCTCCTCCTCCCTCTCCCCCTCCCTCCTCCTCCTCCCTCTCTCCTCCCTCCCTCCTCCCTCCCTCTCCTCCTCCTTCTCCTCCTCCTCCTCCTCCTCCACCTCGGCACGCTCGACTCCTCCTCTCCTCCTCCTCCTCCTCCTCCTCCTCCTCCTCTCTTCCTCCTGCCTCCTCCTGCCTCCTCCTCCTCCTGCCTCCTCCTCCCCCTCCTCCTCCTCCTCAGCGAGCTTTTGGTAACCTTGAGCCACAATATGTTTACGTCGATGCGACTATAACAAGCTCAGCAGCTTGATAGAGCTTGCGTCCAGCGTGGCGACTAAAAGAAGCCTCGGAAGATCTCTGAAGAGGCTCTGCATCCTCCCAATGATACAGCTGTGCTGGCGTAGTAAGCACAGAATTTCTGTGCTTCTACAACTGTATACCAAGCCGAGCGGCAAAGAGGGATGAGAGTCATGCCTTCAGGTTCACGAGGTCGTGCTCTGTGAAGTTCTCCTTCCTGACGACCTCCTTCATCGTGATCACATTCGGCGTGCCCTTCTTCGTCTTGATCAGGCCCTGATATCGAATAGTGCCTGACAATAAGTAGTCCATCATCTGTGGAAACACTCCCACCTTAGTCATTGGGTCCATTACCATCAACTCCGTAGGCCAATGATACATTCTGCGAACTCTTCCTGAAAGTCTGTCCTCACGAAGTGAAAGAATCGATAGCCTCTGCGTCTTGTCGACTGGTATTCCTTTCATGCCTGTTACCAAATGAAATAGATCATAGCAGTCGGTGATCAAGTCGATGGGGACCACTGCTTTTCCTGAGTCTTGAGTCGTCATGAGTCCGGTAAGAGCATATTTGAAGTTTTTTTCGATCCAAGGCCTCATCAATATCTCCGTGTATCTCAATGCTGTGTACTGTGCTGCTTGAGAGCCTCCAACTGCTGCCACCGTCTCTGCATGACTTGTGGAATATGATACTCGTTTTGACTTCCGTGACTGACCAACAAGAGGATGTGCGGAACCAAACAAATCTTTATAACTCTCTTTACCAATGAGATCACACTTGTCATTCATCAAAGGTTTATCTTCCATGAGAAACAATCCTTGAGCTTCATGTGCATAGGATGTCGTACGAGTAGCATGCGCTGCATCGATGATGCTCACAAGTCTGAAGGGGCCCTGCATCTTCTTGAAGTACAATCCTGCTGATTTCCGGTCCTTCTTCGCCTTCTCGAGAACTCTTTTGAGTGCCTTGAAATCTCCTATCGTCGGGCATGTCTGCTTCGTCTGCAACTGAGTCGTACCTGCGCTCACATCCCAACGTGTTTGAAGAAAATGTAATAATTGACAACAGAGAGAACGAAATCGATGTTGCTCATCTGGAGTACACTGCAGATGATCGTCCTTGGCTCTGTCCTTGTCGATGCTCGGCGACTCGATGGTGTCCAAGTAGGCGTCCTGGCTAAGGAAGATCGTGTCATTCAATACCCGCGTATACTCTATTCCAAGATGAGTGAACGGCATCGTTTTCCGTGTAATCTTGCCGAACTTCTTCTCCAGAAGAGCATGCGCCCAATCGAGCCAGTCTTTCTTGCCCGTCGGGAACAAATCATCAACATGCACTGTGGTGACCAACTGTAATTTGTCTGTCTGAGCATGGTGCCATACGAAAACAGTTCTCGTCCAATAGAGTCCTCTTGCCGCTCATGTTGTCCTTGATGTGAAGAGTAAGTGCTGCCTGCCACAGGAGAGGTGCATCAATAAGTCCAGGCACTGGCTTCACACATTCAAGAACATACAAGTGTATCGGATCATCTGGAATCGCTGCAAACTCCTTGGAAAGCTTCTTCAGATGACGCCAAACGTTAGCCGGTGGAGCAATGTATACTTCACGCTCTTGTCGTACATCAAGTCCTAATTCTTTCGATCGTTCTGCGAGTTCCTTGAAACGAAGTCCTTGAAGGAAAGCTGAGGAGATATCCCAGCTCTCCAGCTCGAAGTCGGGCTCGCACTGACAGGTGGAGACCGTCATGCGCTGCGATGCACGCGCTGCCGTCGATGAATGTCTATCCACTGCCCATTTCTGATTGTCCAGAAAACCACGACCACACAAGCGAGAGCGCATCACCCATTTTTCCTTCCACATCCAGCGTCTAACCCACGTGGCGTCGATGAAGTTCTCACTGTTGCACTTGGATTTCGGCTTGGGCTTGAAGCACTCGTGCTTTACGTAGTTCTCGATCTCCTTGAGGTCCGCCTGCTCGATCTGTGGCCATAAGTTGCCAAACTCTCATTCCTGTATAAGCATTTCTCCTTGGGAAGCGTATACCTCTACCATTTCGTGCTCAAGCAAATCCACATATAAATATCTCGATGATGAAAACGTGTCGTTCGTCTTGATGGTGCAGCACGATTCTGAACCCTGCCACGGTTCTGCTGCTGCATGATGATGCGTACTGTCAGTATCTGTGATGACAGCGTCCTTGTAATCGATCCACTTGCTGTCCATGAAAACAGAATGAAGTCCTTTTGTCGGTGTCACAATCGATGTCTCAGAAGACCATGTTAGAAAATGTGTATACGACTCCTCAGCATCTGCTAGTGGCATGAGTGACTGCTGTTCTTCCGCAGCTGGTTCTTGACCATCTTCAGACGGTTCGCCATCTAGCAACTCCTCGAGATTCTGTGTCAGGTTGTGGTCCGTATCTGCGTTGTTCACTTCGCCATGGCTGCTGTCTTGAGCCGAGCTTGCTCGGTCAATCTCAGGAAGAGCAATGTGTTCTCCATCATCTGGTCGAGCCTGCTTCCTCTCATGTCCAAGATCAATGATGCTGTCATCCAGACGAGAGGTATCATATCTCGTCCGTTTGATAGTCGGGGGAGCCATTTGCTGATCTGGAACTGCTTCTGTACTGTCCGTAGGTGCTGTAAGGTGTTTTGGTGAATGCGATCGAGATCTGGCTGCTGAGGAAGTAGTAGGATTGCCTTCTTCCTGCGTTCTCAGAAGACTGCGTTCCAGCTCGTCCAGTAACTGATGTGCCTCAAAAATATGGCTCAACTCACGATCAAGGCTCTCTCTCTCTCTCTCTCTCTCTCTCTCTCTCTCTCTCTCAAGTCTAGTTCTGCTTTTGTTATGTTCATCGCTTGAACTGCCTGTTGCAGCCTGAGATGGTTTAGCCGATGGTTCAGGAGCAGGTCGTGCGGATTGATCTTTGTCATCATCATCTGCTAGTGGTACTGCTGTCGGTCTCGTTCTGCGCGGTGG